TGCACAGTCGTATGCTGCTGCTGAGTCGTTTCGTTTTGTTTTCTATTTCTCCTCTTCATTCATCCCATATCAGAATTTGTGTTTCAAATTGCATTGAAATATCTATAGCTGAAAATTCATATAAGCCACCCAGGAGGGATAAAAAGCACAGTGGTATGTTCACTGGAGTCAGCTGCCCAAACTGCCCTGCACATAAATACGTGGTTTTCCACTTCATCTGTCACAAGCGGGTGAGGGATAGCAGTCAGAGGATACTGTATAATCATGAGGCTCTGGCCTGGTGGCCACAGCCCAATCTTAAAAATTTTTGTTGTGCTTTTTGTCACCAATCTAAAATTATTCTGTCTGTCAGACCTGTTCTTTGAGGAGAATCTCAACATATCCTTAAGGTGTGAAAGACTCCTTTTTCTGAATATTACTCATTTTGCTAACATCACAGGCATCCATATCTGTTTCTCAGCATTTAAGGGAAGATTTATTTCATTTATCAATTCCACTATTGAATTCTTTGAAAGGGGACGGATCTTTGTGTTCAGAAGCATAGAAAAATCTTCCCAAGTATTGCTCCATTTGTTTTGCCATTTGTGGCAAGAAAAGATTAGCACAAAAGAACAGATTAGTTGCTGGTTGTCAGCTTCTCCAACATTTATCTCCAACATTTAGCTAGTTAGCTAAACTAGTTTTACCTACATAACATTTATCTCCAACATTTAGCTAGTTAGCTAAACTAGTTTTACCTACATAGCCTGATGTTCAGTAAAATTGGTTTAAAATTTTATAAGTTAAATAATTGTAAAGATAATTATTTGGATCTATTCCTGGTGTTCTTCCTTGGAACTTCAATTTATTAGCTCAGTTTTTTAAAAAAATGTGAAATCTGCAGATATTTCTGTAAATTTTGCAACAACTTTTTAAAGTCTGGAATGTGCCAACAATGGAGTCCTAGAGTAAAGCTCCCAGGCAGAAGCATCTATACAGAATTACCAGAAGAGTATGGTAGCACAAGACAAATCACAATCAAAGAGAGCCTGTGCTGTCAATAAAACACAGGGTTTGTCAATCTCAGTTCTGCTTCAAACTCATTGCCTTACCTGAGCATCTCTCTCCTTCATTTCCCTAACTATAAAATTATAAACTGCCAAGTCTTGGCAGTAGCTAACTAAGTGTTTACACAGTTTCCTGTCAGGAGAAAAAAAAATTATATTTGTGAAGGACTGAAAAAAAGTAAGCATTGAAAACATTCTGTTGTTATGTACTTATTTCTTATGAAATATTTCATCTACTAAGATATTGCTCTGACAGCCATTTACCAGCTTGATGCCCCTTTGCAAGGACTGTGCTATTGACACAGAATCATTTCCCCCTTCGTAATAATATTTTCATGCCTCATGTCGTTCCCACCTGTGGCATTTTAGTAATTAATGATGTTACAATGCAAATTCTAATCAAGCTGCATATGTATTTTGTTCATTTGTTTCCTTATGGGAAACATTTTAATTTCCCCTGGCCTTTATGCAGCAGCTGCATGTCCTTCTGATTATTTCTTCTGTTGAAAAGCGGTCAAAGTGTTGTTCAGGACAAAATTCAGTCCAGCTGTAAGTAGGTGAAACTCTTTTGGCCCAGAGTGTCCTAATTCACGTGCTATCTGGTTTTATTAAAAGCTAGTCAAATCACAGAATTCACGAGATGTGCAGTAGCTGCAAGAAAGAGAATTTTGGGACTACCAAAGCAGAATGCTGTAGTGAGTGTTTTGAAGATTGCAGCAGCTCTAACACACAGAAGATAAACTTTCCTGCTACAAAATGTTGTCTGCTAAGAACATGCCTATAAATATCCTCCCCTTCTTGTTTATGTCTATGAACTAGATGAAAGCATTAAAAATAGAATTTCATATTAACATACAATTTAATGTATTTTGAAAGGAGTTTTAATACATGTATAGCAACTTGCCTATTATTTTAAACTTCTGTTTTGCTGCAGGCGAACATAAAGACAGCTATGCAGATGAAGCATAGGCCTGGGAGTGGGGTGGTATACTAAAACCTGTCACGGCCTTCACAATTATTTTACTTCGGTCCTATGAATCTTTTGAGGACTCATTTTAATCTTCTGTGAAATGGAAACAACAGCTCAAACATATTGCAGGGGCTCTGGAAGGTCTATTTCTTCAAAGGTCTGACAGTCTCTGCTACAAAACACTATAACAATCTATTGCTTTTACATATATATTATACTTCAAGAAGATCTGAAGTTTTATCTTCATTACACCTTAATAGCTTGTATTTTTGTTTTCTCTTGTAGCTGGAAGCAGTGTTTTAAATTACATTCAAAACACTGGGAAAAAAATCATCCTCTTTGTTCTTCCTGAGTTGTCCACACTGCCTTTATCTGCTTCCTCAACTTCACACAGTTTCCACATGTGAGGTTTCAGCTGAAGGGTAAAAATACACCTGAACGGTACTTGCAAACTAGTGACCTATCACGGGCTGTCATCTGTTTTGCATGTGGAAGATGATAATGCAATGAAATCCCTATAACTGGGAAACCTCAGGTATTAAATTTAACTGAATAGGGAGAGGGGACTTGTGAAATTCTTTCAAGGGAGCATTTGTTAATGAATAAACAAATATTTTGTAATGTTGGTAACATATAATTTGATCCTATAGCTTTCTCACAGAAAAAAGATTTACTGCCTTCATATCTTGACTGTCTATTCAGTTTTAACTACCATGCTCCCTTCTCCACTTAACTATGGATCACTGTGATCACTCTTGGGCGCTGAAATAGAAATACTGTAATTTCCTGTCCGTAAGAGCTGCTTCTAACACCAAATTTCTCAAATTCTTGATGCAGTGAAGGCATCAAGATTCCAACCTATTCAGTGTTCACAGCCATCTAAGGGAGGAGGCTCAACTGTGGTGGTCCTTGGCCCATCCTTCTGAAGGCAGCATAGGAACTTGAACAGATTCAAAATTGAACAGGCACATCCAAGGATGTACTGCTTCATAAACTGGTAAACACTTTGTATCTTCTGCAGCCTGGATTTACTGGAAGACTAGCCTAGATTTACTGCAGACACACTGGAGAGATCTCCTTCACCTTCACCTTCCTTCTGTGTGCTATTTACCCTTTTCCTTTGTTTTAGGGACGTGCAGCCCTCCTTCCTGTATATCAAGGATCTGTAATTCTTTCATTCTGGTGAGTAATAGCTTTTTTTCTGCTTCTATAGTCACCCTGTGCACCAAAATACCCCATTCTCCTCCCATGTCTCCATTCACCTCCTCCATCTTCTCCAATTCCAGTGCCTCTGTGGCTCTCTTTATTACTCTGCTTCCAGTACATCAGAGACCATTGTGTCTTCTGCTTTCTGTACGGGGCTCATGTGCCTCTAATTTCCACCTAGGTCTTCATCTCTCATTATCCCTTTCCTGCCCATGAAGTTAGAAGAGTTTTGAAATTTGGTTGGGACGGACCTTGCTTTTATGTAAGGAGATACTTTTTCCGCAGACTTGATTTGTAATCTGGAGAGAACACCAAGTTTGATAATAATGGGTGGATTTTTGCAGCAGATGCCAGGTGGAGGGTGTGCCCCTCATCGTGTTTTCCAGTTTATAATTGAAATCAATTGAATTCTGCTCCAACTACTCCAAACAGCTTGCCTCTGAACTTCTGCAGTCAGTGGGATACAGCTCTCAAAGAATGTCATGCTACTTCCAAACAGTAAAACAACAGGAATCTGAAGTCGTCTTCATATCTCGGCCGACTCTCCCAGCTGTGTAAGTGCAGGACTAGTCATGTTGCTGTACGAGCAGGCGATGATTTGGAGTACCAAGCACCTTGATAAGTAAAGCTTGTGAAGAACTCTGTGTATAGCTAAGTTCTCCATAGCAATATTAATGAACAATGACCTTGCTTTGAAAATACAGAGTGTGTGTTTCTACACTCCTTCTCTACAGTCTCTTCTGATTTCTATTTCTGATTTCCAGCATTCTTGGAAACTTCTGCCCTGCTGGGAGACCTAGAGGATTTAAACTTTAGTGCAGTGTCTCTAAACTCTAAAACATGCTCTCAAACAAGCACACATGCACTTACATACACAAGGCTCACATTATAAAAGAGTTTTTAGTCATTTCCCAGCAGAGGTCTGTCATCATAAATGATCACTAGCAACCTAAGAGCACCGCTTGCTTTGTGTATGGATACGCAGAAAAAGTCTTTGGGACAGAAAGATCAATTAAATTAAAATAATACAATGACATTTTTTGGAATAGTAACCTCTTTTTTAACTGAAAATAAGACTTTAAGAAAAGCACTTCATTTCCATATCATCATTTCTCCCAGCTGTACAATGGGATAATAACATTGCTTTATCTCACTAGGATTCTGTGAAGAAAATTCATTATTCTTGTGAAAGCCTCTACTACAAGAGATAAAGGGTTGTAGAAAAGCCTCTCAAAAACTAGTTTTGTTTGGGCTTATCATTAGTCATGACTAAAGTTTAATACATTCGTAAGTGCTTGCTGTCTTTGGCCCAAGTTCAAGAAAGGTGCAGTTAATGCAAAAACCCTAAGTTTGAAATTCTTAAAATAAAAAGGTGATGTTCCAATTCAAGAAATCAGTAACTTTGAGGTTAAGAAATAGTGCCTACATTTTCAAAATCTGTCTCTCTCCAAGCATCAGAGCAGCATTTGCTGGCACAAAGGGAGGAAGCACATTCAGAAAACTCAGTCTATGGCATTTCCATGGTGCTGCATAGACTTATTAGCTTATTGTGAGGAATTTTGTTAGCAGTAGAGCGAAGAATTCTGTTCAATGCTCTACTACTTCATTTTGATACATACTGGCAAGGATACATCCTGCCCCGGGCTGCTTCAGAGATACAGAGCCCTTCAATTGATGTTGCAGTTAAAGGCTCAGTCTGACCCTCTGGGAAGTATACAGTTACTTCTTCTTGGTTTTTTTTTACCTAAGTAGGGACGGTATCAATGTTCTCCAGCAATCTTCATCGCATGGCTTTTCACAGGAAGAAGAACAAAAGGTAGAACAAAAAAGTACAGGTTGTCAAAGATGCTGTCACTTGGAACATAGTTCTCCTGAGCTGTATCTTAAAGAGGAGATAAAAGAAAAGAAAAGAAAATATTTTATGTGTGTTTGAGATGAGCTCAACGCGATTCCTGTTGTTTCTCTGCTAAAACACATACTGACTAAAGCAACATAAAGCTCAAAATGCCATCTTTGAAAATAGTTAGACAAACATTACTTAGAGGCTTGTTTGGTTGGTTGTTTTTTAACTTTTCTTTAGCCTGTCAAACTCAAGAACTATCTCTCTCTGTCATTTGCAGACTCTCCCTCTGCCCCCTTGCCATTTACAAGGGTTTAGACAGCTATTGCGAGTCCTCTTCTCCTTTAGTTCTTCTGCTGTAAATAACAAGGTGTGGAGCAATGAACATCTACACATGCCACTGCACCACAATGCAGTAATGCATGAGGACTGCATGGCTTACAGAAAATTGATCCAGCTATCAAAAACTCATCTTCACTATGTGTCTATGCATCCCATGCACAAGTTACATGACAGTCACTCCTGCTCGTTCTTGATTTCACCCAGGTCGTATAGACTGTGTTTTACATGGATGTTATGTTTGTGTCTGCTCCTTGGCTAGCAGCAGGCAGCAGTCTGATCCTGTGGGCTGAAGTTCAATACTGTAATAGTCACAGTGCCTGAGAGGAGCATGGTGACCACCTCAAGAGACACTCCTGGTTACAAGCTGTTGCATCTGTGTTTTACGTCTGCAGTCTAATTTGTGTTCTACTCCACACCAACCCTGCTACACAGTTGAGGATTGTATTTTGAAAACAGTAAGGGGCAAATTCACTTCCGAACATCGATTCCCTTTTTAATCACAAGGAGGAAGAGAGCAGGAATCCTCCAGGAACTGGTACTCACACTCCACAGGCACGAAACCATGCAGCTAACAAGCAAACTATTCACCTCCCTAACTGGAAATGTCTAGTCTAAGCTACTTGTCTGGCATCCACCTGTAGTCAGCAAAGAATGAAAAACACTGAGGAGACTGATTTATCCAGTGCTAAAGCAGGTGTCTCAGAAAAGCAGCATGAATTGCCCTCTGGAGCTTATCTCCTCCTATTAATTATAAGGGTAGCCTGGAAAACTGGTTTAGAGTAGATACTGGACTTCCAGGCAGCTTAAGTTAGACAAGCTGACTTCCAGTACTGGTTGAAAGGAGACTACATCAGATTGCTCTCCACTCCTCCTATAGCAGGCTTTCTGCTGTGCAGAAACTTCAGGCAAAGCCCTGGCTTAGTTTAAGTCCTTGGCAGCTTTCTAACCAGACTAGGATTTCCCCCGTCATACCTGCTTCTGATTCCTGCACTATCACAGTCTCACAAAACTACCGAGTAGGAATCGCTGCAGTAAAACCCTTGTCCAAATATTTCACAGTGTAAGAAAAGAAGTCATGCATTTTTGAGAGGTTCAAAAATTCTGTTTCAAAGCTTCTCACAACCATGCCTTTACTTTGTAAAATGTTATTTTGCTTATCATAAAATAATGCCTTGATTGTTAAAGTGGGTCTTTTTTCACTCAACGCTGTAAAAAATGGAATGAGTATTCACCAAAAACCCAAAGACTATTTGTAATGTTGAAACAGGCTGTGGCAGAAATGGAGCTGCTCTGTGTTAATTCCCAAATACCAAGTTAACTTGGTATGGCTTACTGGAGAAAGGTGTGTAAAATCAACATAGAAATTGGGAAACAATGAGGAAAGCCAAGAAACAACCTCAGACATGATACCTCTTGACAAACACATGGGAGATTTACAAATGCAGGAAGAGGAAATGATAAAAGATTCCTGCAATAAAATACAATTCTATCTGCAGAGGGGGATAGGTTTTTCCCAGGCAAGTAAGGGACACAGACAGACAGAGGTTACAGCTCTAACCACAGCCATTAGGGCTGACAGCGACTCGAAAATCTGCTGACAGGTCACTCTGACTGCATTATCTCCCTACACCTTCCACTACACAACAAGCAACACGTTGTCCTCTTTAGTATATATGCCCCAACTCTCCAAGCTGACCCTGCCGAAAAAGACAAATTTTACACCAACCTGTGCCGCCTTACCCAAAAGGTTCCTGCAGATGGTAAGATCATTATCCTTGGTGATTTCAACACCAGAGTAGGAAAGAACTTTGAAGCCTAGAAAGGAGTATTAGGCAAGCATGGTGTTGGAAATTGCAACAATAATGGTCGACTTGTGCTAGAATTCTGTGCGGAGCAACAGCTCACCATCACTAATACTATCTTTCAGCAGAAAAATAGTCTGAAGACAACCTGGGTGCATCCTAGATCTAAGCATTGGCACCTCATCGATTTTGTCTTGGTGCGACAGAGATGTCTGCGATGTCCACCATACCCGCGTGATGCCCAGTGCAGAATGCCAAACAGACCATCGGCTTGTGTGCTGTAAACTTAACTTTAAACTTAAGTTCAAACCCAAAAGGGGCAGTATCCCAAGGAGGAGACTCCAAGTTAACAATCTCCAATCAGCCACAGTGAGAGACAGATTCCAGGCATATCTTCAAACTAGGCTTGAAAACCATTCCATAGATTCTATACATGCCTCTCCTGAAACAATTTGGCACCATATTAAAAACAGCATCCTGCAATCCTCTGAAGAATCCTTAGGGTTCTCCTTCCAGAAGAGCAAGGACTGGTTTGATGAAAACAATCAAGAGATCCAGGAATTGTTGAGGGAGAAGATATCTGCTCACCAAGCACACCTTGCACTGCCATCCTGTCACATAAGAAAAACAGCCTTTCGTCTTGCATGCAGCAAGCTCCAACAGAAACTCTGCGACATCCCAAACAAGTGGTGGATCAATCTAGCTGAAAAAACTCAATTATGCATAGATACAGGTGATCACAGAGGACTCTATGAGGCCTTGAAAACAGCATACGGGCCTACATACCAGGTCCAAAGCCCTCTACTCAGCGCAGATGGTCAGACACCTCTGACAGATAAAACCTCCATTCTGAATCGTTGGTCTGAACACTTTCGGACCCTTTTCAGTACTAGCCATGAAGTCCAAGACTCAGCTATTCAGTCCATCACACAACTACCGGTGAAGAATGAATTGGATATTGCCCCCACTTTAGGAGAAACCCTCAAGGCCATACAGCAGGTGAAAATTGGCAAGGCAGCTGGGTGTGATGGAATTCCACCCGAAGTCTGGAAACATGGAGGCCAAGCACTCCATGCTAAATTTCATGAGTTTGTGGTGCACTGCTGGGAACTAGGCGAACTACCATCAGACCTTTGTGATGCAGTCATCATCACTTTGTATAAGAAGAAAGGAGATAGACTGTTCAAATTACCGAATTTTTTGAACAGACTAATACCCGCTATAGCAGAAGAACTTCTACCTGAAAGCCAAAGTGGTTTCAGAACCAACAGGAGCACCACAGACATGGTATTTGTTCTCAGACAACTGCAAGAGAAGTGTAGGGAACAGAACAAAGGTCTCTATGTAACCTTTGTTGATCTCACCAAGGCTTTCGATACTGTGAGCAGAAAAGGTCTATGGCAGATTTTGGAACGTTTAGGATGTCCCCCCAAGTTCCTTAAAATGATCATCTCACTTCATGAGGATCAGCACGGCCAAGTCAGATATGGTGATGCACTTTCTGAGCCCTTTCTAGTAACTAATGGTGTGAGACAAGGCTGCGTTCTTGCACCAACCCTATTCACAGTCTTTTTCAGCATGATGCTCCAAAGGGCCACGGCAGACCTCGATGGTCAGGATGGTATTTACATTCGATACCGTACTGATGGAAGCCTATTCAACCTAACGCGACTGAAGGCCCACACCAAGACCTTAAACCATCTTGTCCGGGAGCTGCTTTATGCTGATGATGCCGCCCTCATTGCTCACACAGAAGCAGCCCTGCAGCATTTAACATCCTGCTTTGCAGACACTGCTGAGCTTTTTGGGCTGGAAGTCAGCTTAAAGAAGACAGAAGTTCTCTATCAACCGGCACCTCAGGAAGTCCCCCATCATCCCCACATCACCATTGGCCAATCAGAGCTCAAATCAGTCCAGCAGTTTAATTACCTGGGTAGCCTCATCTCCTCGGATGGTAAGATTGACAGAGAGATAGACAACAGGTTAGCAAAGGCATACAGTGCCTTCGGAAGGCTTTATAAAAGAGTTTGGCGAAATAAACACCTGAAGAAAAGTACAAAGATCAGTGTTTACAGAGCCATAGTGCTGTCTACTCTCTTATATGGATCCAAATCATGGGTCATCTACAGTCACCATCTGCAGCTCTTAGAACGCTTCCATCAGCGCTGCCTCCGTACAATCGTTAACATTCACTGGTCAGATTATGTGACTAATACATCTGTTCTAGAACAAGCAGCAGTCACAAGTATTGAGGCCATGTTGCTGAGAACACAGCTGAGTTGGGCAGGGCACGTCTCAAGGATGAAGGACCACCGCCTCCCTAAGATCTTGCTTTATGGTGAACTTGCCACCAGCTGCCACAAGAGAGGAGCCCCGAAGAGGAGATGCAAGGACTCCATGAAGCAATATCTCAGCCTTGGCCACACTGATCAACATAACTGGTCTACTCTGGCCTCCAATCAGGAGGTCTGGAGACACACTATCTTTAATGTTGATGATGCTTTTGAGAAAGCACGCAGGTTCGCTCTTGAGGAGAAAAGACAATGCAGAAAGAATCGTGCCTTGCAGAATATACTACCTAAGGAGTCTTTCTGCTGTGCCTTTTGCAACCGGATATGTCTATCTCATATTGGCCTCTTTAGCCATCAGCGCGTTTGTAACAAACGTGGGTAGAGCCTTCCCCAAATCTTCGTTCGCGAAGCCTAGCCATGAAGGGACACAGACAGACAGAGGTTACAGCTCTAACCGCAGCCATTAGAGCTGAAAGTGAACAGGAAGGCTATTTAGTACCTCTGTCAGCACTTGGCAGCAACCCAAGTAAGATAGACATGCAAATTGGCCTTTGTTGTTTTAAAATCCTCTTTTTTTTATCTTCTGTCTTTGCTGACTTATCTATAC